TTAGAATTTCTTAGGGGATTGGTTGTGTGATCAAAATTCTTCTTTTCCAAAAATTACTTATTATAATTGAATATGACTACCTTCAGAGACAATAACCTTAAACTTGCATAACTTTATACTTTTTTTTTAAACGTAGTTTTTTTATAAATTTCATAATTTTTCTGATAATAAATTCATTTCTTAGAATTTCTTAACGGATTTGTTGAATAATTGAAATTAATTATTTTTTCTAAAAATTAATTCATATATTTGATTAAGTATACCTTCAGAGACAATAACCTCAAACTTGCAGAACTTTATACTTATTTTTAAAGGTATTTTTTTCAATAGATTTCATAACTTTTCTGATATAAAATTCTTTCCTTACGATTTCTTAAGGGATTTGCTCTAAGATCAAAATGTAAAGATCTTTAGCACATCTTGGCCAAGGTCTTTTCTGAACGTTTTTATTATCCACTTTTATCCATTGATTTTCTTGACGGAGCGTATTAGTATAATGCCCGCTAGAAGTTGTTGTGCCATGATGAAATACACCACTAATAGCCTTATACATTCTTTTCCCTATTTTTATTTTTGATTATGGTATTTCATTAATCTTAAGACCAACTATTTTATTAATAGCATTATTAAGTTGAACATTGACAGTATTGACTTCATGGGTACCATATTCGGTCACAGAAAATAGTTCTAATTGTATTAGAATTACACTATTGCTCACAGTTATATCAGTCTTTTCTATTATTTTCCGTTTACAGCCATTACCGTAATCAATTGTAGAAGTCATCCAATTTCCTATATTGTCATCTATAATTTTTTGTAGTGTATAAGATTTTGTTGTTGATTCAAGTAATTGTAACCTGACAATATAATCAGGCTGTTCCGTAGTTATTCGCCTATCACAGTCTTGGCAACGAATTACGTGATTGTATTGATTCTGACACCGGCGTCGATACGACTCGTTCGTAACGACCACATGAACTTCGCAACGTACTGCGCGTCCACAGCCTACTGTGACTAGGGCATCAAGAAATGCTACTACAGCGCCACTATGTGTGTTTAACAATGACCAGGGAATCAAGAAAATTTATCGATGTGATGCTTATCATTGAAATTATTGTATATTTTTCTGAGATGAGATGAGATGAGATCTGATATATTGATTGTTTCAGTACCTTGAATTTATTATTATCACAATATACACACCCACATATATATATATATAAAGTAAATACTCTTAGCGCGACTAACTTCACATCGAACTGAACACTAGCTCGATATATACTACTAAAGCTCGTCCGCGGCTAACTTAAGAGTCGGAACTTTTTGGACTGAACGTAAAAATTCTTGAAATGAAATCAGCACTTTTCAAGAACGTATATATAATAAAACAATTAAAAAAGTTTTTCTGGTCGCTATTTTTATTTCAAATCATAGTTTAGCATTAGAAAAGCCGAATAACATCACACTACTACATATATGATGATGTTAAATAATTTTTTTACCATTTCGGAAATTCAAAATGCGAATTTGAGCGTATAAAGTGTCACGGTAGCCATGCACCGTCTGCTACTCAAACTTGCATGTGGCGCTACCGCGCCACTTGATGTCACGGTAGCCATGCACCGTCTGCTACTCAAACTTGCATGTGGCACTACCGCGCCACTTGATAGAGAACTGTAACATTTATGATATTTAAAGAGAGATGTTTATGATACTGGTAATATATATGTCGTAAGAGCTTTCCCTTACTCACTTTCAATAGATGCATCTATTGATCTACATACGTATATAGTGCAAAAGAAAACAGAAGTTCTAGTGCACCAGCTTATGCACTATCAGAACCAGTTGCGATAATAGTATTAATTTGGAGACAAGTTTGAAAATAATACTGCGAGGAAAATTAGAGTGATAGTTATATATTGACACAGTTGTGGGTTAATAAATTCAAAATATAATCTTATATGTACCTGATAGTATGACAAAAAGAATAAGTAGTTTTTTCCGCTGTAGGAGAGTCAGTGGGTCTTTCCATCTTTGAAAGCTCGACATTGCTGACGAAAGGATGTATCTAACTCGTAAGTCAAATAGTTAAAGCTTAGAAAGTTACAGCCTCACTTTGGCATTATCCGTTTACAATATAGATATATGTAAAAAGTGTCCCAAAATTACTCTACTTGCAGTTGGATAGCTAAACTGAATAGAGCCTTGGTATGTACCTCGTTGCAGTTGCCAAACCTAGACTCGAAGAACTGCATACGTAGTGTGTGGATACTAGAAGGTGACCATGCCAATAACCCACTGTACACCAGTGTAAGTTTCTGATTTGCTAAACGACAATTAAGTTAGTTCATGTTGAAATGTAGAAATAGAACTTACCATCCGCTGTAAGCCACCTGTCCTCATTATGCCTCTACTCTACTTTACTGCAGCTCCTCCCGCTATTTAATTCCTGAAACAGGCGTTATTATAATCCCCTTAAAAAAAGTTTTTTATAATTCTTAAATATTAGGTGAGTTTGATACATTGAGTTCATATTTTGTAAAGAATTTCTGAACCTATATACACACTGGCAGTGAATAGTATTTTTCCTAATAAATCTGTAGCCTTAACAAGTTCTGAAATCAAGATATAAAAACGGTCAAGTTTTTTTTCGTGCAGCATACATTTTGTATGACATTCGTAGTTTAATACTGTTTGGTACTCGTACTTAAAAAAAATCAAACTAAGTAATATTGCCTTTTGCCCTAACATTTTTATACACTTTCTACATGGCAAGGTATAATTGTATTGGATGTGAGGTTTGTATGAAATACCAGTCAAAAGTCATATTTTTACATTTTTATTCGTTTTCAAAATTTTTCTACGGTAGGTGTCCTACCTTACCAACACCTCATCTTGTCAGTCTTTGTTTGAGTGGTTGGGTACATTTTACATGCTTATAAGTGCGCACATATACATTTGAGCTCGATCTGCCACATACATCGTATTATTTGTATTATTGAACATTTAGGAAATGATTTTACTATGAGAGAGTCACATCCACCACCTCCTTCTTCTGAGGCATCGTTGCGTCTCCCTATAAACTGCATATCTGCATGCCACGGTGAAATACTATATACCAGTCGCTTATTTATATCATATCCTAGTAATTAGTTCATATTAAAAACACTACCTAGTTACCCGGAAGGAAGTGATGGAACGGAGTCTCAAACATGAGCCCTCCAGGCGGGAAGCAAGCGCTCTACCACCTTAGCCACTGAGAACTCCCAACACTGCATGCTATCTACTGTGAAATTAGGAAGTACCTGTAGCTAATATCGCACTGTTGGCAGCTCTGCTTGATTTTAAGAACACACCTATTCCAACTATACACAGGAAAAATTTGGCTTGCAGCTAACTTAACGATAAGACCATTTCTCGGACACTGAGAATGAAAAAATCTTGTTTTGACTATTTCGAGATACACATGTCTCGTTTTTCTTATTCTAACGACTTTTTGATCTATATTTTTCGGTAAAGTTGTAGACTACAATTAATAGAATTAAAGAGACTTAAGTAAACCACAATACATCAGGCTTACCGGAAAAAATACTTTTTTTTTAGTATTTGAAAATTCGAGTATGCAAATCTGAAGTAAATAGTAGCGCGGTCACTGAGGCTTCGTCTGCTTTCTCAAACTTACCTCGTCGCGCTTCCGCGCGACTTGATTTGAAGTCTAAATGGAGTCTAAATGGAGCCTTAATAGCTTTAATAATGATTTTTAAGTATTTTGCTTATAACTTTTTGTTTATCTACCAAATATATGACAGAAGCATCAACCTATGTTAATTTCACTGGAAAAATTAATCTGTGATGTTGCCCTGAGCACTGCTAAGATTTAAGCAGTCAAATAGAGTTAAACGATATTACTTTTACGAAATCATTGAACTTTAGAGTAATGTCTATTCATTAACTTTAACTTTTTATGTCATCTAAGTAATTTATTTAGAATACAAATAGGCAATTCCTCAATGATTGGTTAATAAGCAACTTAAGAAAACAGAAATATTATTATCCAACAAATGTGTGCTTTAACTGTATTCCAGTGGATAAAATTTAATGAGATTTTTACATCTCTTCAACAATGTTATGTTCACTTCAATTAAACTTTCATCTCTTCAGGAGTACAATGGCTAAATAGGTAATTAAAAGCACTTTTTTAAAGAGTTAAAGGTGACTTTGCCTCTGATAACCCATTCTACACGTGTATGGCTTTGTAATTTGCTAAACAGCAGTTAAGAGAGTCACCATTATGCCTTCACTATTTTACTATAATTTTTTAGTATTTTATTAAGTACTTTAGTCGATCTATTAAATATTGTGTACAAAAAAACTCACAAACAATATGCCTTTTTTGTACTCGATTATTTTTATAGAAATTTTTATTAGCTGACCTATATATATATATATATATATAATGATATAAATAAAGTAAATACTCTTAGCGCGACTAACTTCACATCGAACTGAACACTAGCTCGATATATACTACTAAAGCTCGTCCGCGGCTAACTTAAGAGTCGGAACTTTTTGGACTGAACGTAAAAATTCTTGAAATGAAATCAGCACTTTTCAAGAACGTATATATAATAAAACAATTAAAAAAGCTTTTCTGGTCGCGATTTTTTTTTCAAATCATAGTTTAGCATTAGAAAAGCCGAATAACATCACACCACTACATATATGATGATGTTAAATGATTTTTTTACCATTTCGAAAATTCAAAATGCGAATTTGAGCGTATATAGTGTCACGGTAGCCATGCACCGTCTGCTACTCAAACTTGCATGTGGCGCTAC